GGTCTATTTTTAATTTTTTGAGGAACCTCCACACTGTTTTCCAGAGTGGCTGCACCAATTTGCATTCTCACCAACAGTGCAAGAGGGTTCCCATTACTCCACATCCCCACAAGCATCTATAGTCTCCTGATTTGTTCATTTTGGCCACTCTGGCGTGAGGTGATACCTGAGTGTGGTTTTGATTTGTATTTCCCTGATGAGGAGCGACGTTAAGCATCTTTTCATGTGCCTGCTGGCCATCTATGTCTTCTTTAGAGAACTGTCTATTCATGTTTTCTGCCCATTTCTTCACTGGATTATTTGTTTTTCGGGTGTGGAGTTTGGTGAGCTCTTTATAGATTTTGGACACTAGCCCTTTGTCCCATATGTCATTTGCAAATATCTTTTCCCATTCTGTTGGTTGCCTTTTAGTTTTGTTGATTGTTTCCTTCGCAGTGCAGAAGCTTTTTATCTTCATAAGGTCCCAGTAATTCATTTTTGCTTTTAATTCCCTTGCCTTTGGAGATGTGTCAAGTAAGAAATTGCTGCGGCTGAGGTCAAAGAGGTTTTCTCCTTCTTTCTCCCCTAGGGTTTTGATGGTTTTCTGTCTCACATTCAGGTTCTTTATCCATTTTGAGTTTATTTTTGTGAATGGTGTAAGAAAGTGGTCTAGTTTCATTTTTCTGCATGTTGCTGTCCAGCTCTCCCAGAACCATTTGTTAGAGACTGCATTTTTTTTTCATTGGATATTCTTTCCTGCTTTGTCAAAGATTAGTTGGCCATACTTTTGTGGGTCCAATTCTGGGTTCTCTATTCTATTCCATTGGTCTATGTGTCTGTTTTTGTGCCAATACCATGCTGTCATGGTGATTACAGCTTTGTAGTAGAGGCTAAAGTCTGGGATTGCGATGCCTCCCGCTTTGGTCTTCTTTTTCAAAATTACTTTGGCTATTCAGGGCCTTTTGTGGTTCCATATGAATTTTAGGATTGCTTGTTCTAGCCTCGAGAAGAATGCTAGTGCAATTTTGACAGGTATTGCATTGAATGTGTAGATAGCTTTGGGTAGTATTGACATTTTAACAATATTTATTCTTCCAATCCATGAGCATGGAGTGTTTTTCCATTTATTTGTGTCTTCTTCAATTTCCTTCATAAGCTTTCTATAGTTTTCAGCATACAGATCTTTTACGTATTTGGTTAGGTTTATTCCTAGGTATTTTATGATTCTCAGTGCAATTGTGAATGGGATCATTTTCTTTATTTGTCTTTCTGTTGCTTCATTATTAGTGTATAAGAATGCAACTGATTTCTGTACATTAATTTTGTATCCTGTGACTTTGCTGAATTCATGTATCAGTTCTAGCAGACTTTTCATGGAATCTGTCAGGTTTTCCACGTATAGTATCATGTCATCTGCAAAAAGTGAAAGCTTGACTTCATCTTTGTCAATTTTGATGCCTTTGATTTCCTTTTGTTGTCGGATTGCTGATGCTAGAACTTCCAACACTATGTTAAACAACAGTGGTGAGAGTGTTCATCCCTTTCGTGTTCCTGATCTCAGGGGGAAAGCTCTCAGTTTTTCCCCGTTGAGGATGATGTTAGCTGTGGGCTTTTCATAAATGGCTTTTATGATGTTTAAGTATGTTCCTTCTATCCTGACTCTCTCGAGGGTTTTTATTAAGAAAGGATGCTGAATTTTGTCAAATGCTTTTTCTGCATCAATTGACAGGATCATATGGTTCTTATCTTTTCTTGTTTTAATGCGATGTATCACAATGATTGATTTGTCAATGTTAAACCAGCCCTGCATCCCAGGAATGAATCCCAATTGATCATGGTGAATAATTCTTCTTATATACTGGTAAATTCAATTTGCTAGTATCTTGTTGAGAATTTTTGCATCCATATTCATCAGGGATATTGGCCTGTAGTTCTCTTTTTTTACTGGGTCTCTGTCTGGTTTAGGAATCAAAGTAATGCTGGCTTCATAGAAGGAGTATGGAAGTTTTCCTTCCCTTTCTATTTTTTGGAATGGCTTGAGAAGGATAGGTATTATCTCTGCTTTAAATGTCTAGGAGAGTTCCCCAGGGAAGCCATCTGGCCCTGGACTAATTTGTTGGGAGATTTTTGATAACTGATTCAATTTCTTTGCTGGTTATGGGTCTGTTCAAGTTTTCTATTTCTTCCTATTTGAGTTTTAGAAGTGGGTGGGTACTTAGAAATTTGTCCATTTCTTCCAGGTTGTCCAGTTTGTTGGCATATAATCTTTCATAGTAATCCCTGATAATTGCTTGTATTTCTGAGGGATTGGTTGTAATAATTTCATTTTCATTCATTAATTTTTCTATTTGGGTCATCTCCCTTTCCTTTTTGAGAAGCCTGGCTAGAGGTTTATCAATTTTGTTTATTTTTTCAAGAAACCAACTCTTTGTTTCATTGATTTGCTCTACTGTTTTTTTAGATTCTATATTGTTTATTTCTGCTCTGATCTTTATTATTTCTCTTCTTCTGCTGGGTTTGGGGTGTCTTTGCTCTTCTGCTTCTAGTTCCTTTAGATGTGCTGTTAGATTTTGTATTTGGGATTTTTCTTGTTTCTTGAGCTAGGCCTGGATTGCAATGTATTTTCCTCTCAGGACTGCCTTCACTGCATCCCAAAGCGTTTGGATGTTGTATTTTCATATTCATTTGTTTCCATATATTTTTTAATTTCTTCTCTAATTGCC